AATTATAAATTTTATAATGATTAAGAAAAATATGTTTTTAAATATTTTTTTAATAATAATATTTCAAAAATTTTTAATTCATAAAAAATCTAAATAATAAATATGAAAAAAAATCTAAGCATACAAATTTAATCAATTTAATTTTAAAAGATAAAAACAAATTTTTATAATTTTCATCTATATATATACCCTCATGTACCTTTTTACCCTAAGTTTTTTCTCTCTCCTATTATCAATATTAGAAATATTTTTGATTAAAACATAAATAACATAACTTCTTAATATTATTTTAGAGTTCTTTTTTACTTACCTTTATTCCATTTTTCTTATTATTAATTTTTCTTACTACTCAATTTCTCAGTTTCTTATTTAACCTCTTATCCTTTTACCTTACATCACCTTTTCTTTACCTATATATATTAGTAATTTTTTTAATTATTTTTTATCTCCTTATCATTCCTCTGGTCTTCCTTAGTCATTATTGGTAATGCTATCTATCATTATATAACTCTTTTTTAACCTTAATTTTTCTGTTTCTTTTGGTTGCCTATATTAGAAAATTGTAAAATTAAAAGATAATAGACGCAATTTATTTGTCTTGTTCTTTAATACTTTATTTTCACTTACCTCTACCTTTCATTAATTTTTCTTGTGATTGCGTCTTTCATCTTCTCACTCAACAATTTATCATAATATTTATTTTTCTATTTTATATTCACCATCTCTTTCCCACTCGATTAGTAATTATTTTAGTTTTTATTATTCTTGCTCCTCTTATCCTTCTCTTTCTAGTGTACTTTTTAGTCTTTTTTTACATCTCTAAATATCATTATGTATTTTTTTTTACCTCAATTTTTCTCTCCCTCATTGTTTATAGTAAAAATATTTTAAGTTAAAATATAATAGGTGCAGTGTATTAACATTTTCCTCTTAATACTTTTTCATTTACTTTATTTTGCCTCTTATTAATTTTTCTTGTGATTTCATATCTTAACTTTTCCTCTCACATTCTATCATTATATTTATCTTTCTATATTACATTCCCATCTCTTTCTGTCTCTATATTAATATTTAAGTTGTTATCATTCTTAATTTCTCCTATTAACATTCTGTCTCTATAATTCTTTTTTTATCATTCCTAGCATATGATTGTATATCCCTTTTTTTACCACAAATTTTTTCTTTCTTTTTTCGATATTAGAAAAGTTTTATGTCAAAACTTAAAATGCACAACTTTTTAGCATTAATATCTCAATACATTTTAATATGTCTACACTCTACCCATCACTATTTTTCTTGGGATTCAATCTCTTAACTTACTCTCACATTTTATCATTATATTTATCTTTTTATTCTACACTTGCCTTCACCTTCTCTCTAATGTATAATTTGTTTATTATTATTCTTTCATCTCCCTTATCATTTATTTTATATTATTCACTCATTGCATCTCCATCTATAAGGATGAATATACTTGGTGAGATTGAGGACTAAATTGTAGAATTTTAAAATTAATCAAAATGTCAAATTCTGAAATCTAAGGACTAAAGTTTAAATATTTTGAAAGTAAGGATATTGTAGTTTTACCATTAAAAAACCAAATGTATACCATGAGATTATGTTATGTGTCGGCAACTCTTCCCTCTCTCTTTCTTCCCTTTTTTTTTCTTTGGTTATTTATATATAATGATTGTAACCTTAATAGTATAATAAAAAAGTGTGTATTAATTTCAATTTTTTAAAAATTTATAATTTTAATATTAAATTATATTATTTTATTTTATTAAAATTTAATTTAAAATTTAAAATTAATTATATTAAAATATGTAATTAGTTTTCAAATCTATATATCAACATTTAATAATATGAATTTTTGAATTTTAATTTAAAATTAAAATTTTTAATATTTTTAGTTTATTAGTGAGTATCAACTTAATTAAATTCTTTTTGAATTACTCTTTATCCAAAGAGTAAATCACCATATTCTTGCAAATTTTTACGCTAAAATCTTTCTTCCCAATTTTATCAATAATGCATGCTTTGAATTTGAAAAATCCAATTCACTTTCCAAACATCTCAACTCCCTATTACCATCAACAAACCATTAAGTAGAAGAAAAATTAGTATTAATTTGAAAACGATTATAGAACAACCATAATAATCATACATGAAAATGAAGCAAGTATACTTAACTTAACTTTTCTTTTCTTTTTTTTAGTAGTAGATTTTTACTCTTTAATTTAGCA